TGCAGGACAACCCCGCTGGCGCCGCCGTCCTGCCGGGGCCGGAGTTGGGGGGATGTCCTTGGCCTTCCCTGTGGGCCGGAGGCAAATCCCCTGCCTGTCCTTCTTGCTTCCTGCCCCAGGCCCCGGGCTGAGGACGGAGAGCCCGGAGGACAAATCCCCCCGTGAGACCCTGGTGGGAGAGGCCGTTTTGAAGGGCTCCCCGGCGCAGGAAGGCAGCGGGGAGGAAAAGGGCCGGAGATCCCCCCGCAGGAGGGGCTCCAAAGCCATCCCAGGGTGCTCTGAGGAGGAAAGAGCCAGCCTGTGCCGGGAAGGTGGCCAGAGCTTGAGGGGGAGCTCTGATCTGGTGGTCCCTGATCAGCCTCCCAGCAGAGAGAAGCCCTTCCAGTGCTTGGAATGTGGGAAGAGCTTTAGGTGGAGCACAGACCTGCTCAGACACCAGCACATCCACACTGGGGAACGTCCCTACACGTGTGGGGAGTGTCGCAAGAGCTTCAACAGGAACTCCCACCTGATCCAACACAAGCGAATCCACAGTGGGGAACGTCCCTACACGTGTGAGGAGTGTGGGAAGAGCTTCAGGAACAGCTCCAACCTCTGTTCCCACCAGCTCATCCACACCGGGGAACGGCCCTACAAGTGCTTGGACTGTGGGAAGAGGTTTCACACCAGCTGGAATCTCCTCAGGCATGAGCGGACGCACACGGATGAGAGGCCCTTCCGCTGCACTGACTGCGGGAAGGGCTTTAACCAGAATTCCCACCTCGTCACCCACCAGTGCATCCACACCGGGGAGAGGCCCTACAAGTGTGGGGAGTGTGGGAAGAGCTTCACCCAGAGCTCTAACTTGACCAGACACCAACAGACCCACCAGTAAGGGAAGCCTACAAGTGCCTCAACTGTGGGAAGAGCTTTGGCCACTGCTTCCACCCCGAATGAAGCCCTTGATGGTGAGGCAACCCCTGGTGTCCAGTGACTGTCAGTCCATCCCTTTTGACCAGAAAGGGCCAGTCCCCTTTCACCAACAGAAGCCTTCCTGGGGGTGTGTGTGTGGAAATTTCTGCATTGGCTGGGGACCCCCCAAGGTCACTCCTGGAGGTTGAGAGCAGAGATCTCCCCCTGGGCGTTGGTCTACTGGAGTTCCATCTGCCTCTAATTAAGAATTACTGGGTTTTGCCAGGTCTAGTAGAATCACTTCAACAATTGCTTGAGCACCATTCTATCTTATCCTGTACTACGAGTAGTTTTAGTGTGTATTTTGTGCAGTAAAAAATTCTGATGAAGATGTAGTGTCTGATCATTTGGAACCCTAAATAAATTCCTTTCAATCAATAGATCTGATTTGCCATCATTAAAACCTGGGGGACAAAAGTGTTTCAGTCACACCTCTGTAATTGCTCTAAACTGAAAGTGTTGTCATAATCCAAGGCTGAGATTGGATCCAGCAGCCCCCAGCACCCCACAGGAAGTTGGGAGCTCAGGGGGCCACCCTCCTACGCCAACCCCTCTGTGCCAACAGGCCCCCATGAGACCGTTGGACCCACCAGACCACCCCCCTCTTTCCACCCTTCTCCCTGTTCCTGCCACTTTCCCACTGTCCCCTCAGTCCCCAGTTTCCCCCACGAACAGTTTTGGGGTCCCAACCCCCACTTTTTGCCTCCTCTCCTGTGGGAGCTGAACGTGAAAATGAGGCTGCACACACAGAGTTCCACTTTGGGACTTGTCCACTGACACTTTTCTGTGTCCCGTTTTATTCCTCTTCTCTTGTGAACAGTGCTCAGTGTTTGTCTTTTAGTCCACCAGAATTCCCAGCATGGCCCCAAAGCAGTGCTCTGATCCCACACATTCCCCTCCCCTCATGTGCTGGCTGTGTTCAGCCACCAGAGAAAAACACAGGCTGGTCATGCAGGCTGGTTCAAGTGCATTTCCACTTGGAGAAACAGCCTTCTCTCTCTCCAAGCACTCAGCCAAGGTCCATCCTCCCTTTGCATTCCCATGAACTCAGGGCAGGTGCAGAGTGACTCCGCTTGGTCCCACCTCTGCCCCTGTTTTGTTTGGACACGCAGAGTTCACGGCCAAGAGGGCCAGGACCCGGGCTCCTTGTCTTGGGGCTTGTCCCATGTACTTCCTGAGGACTTGGAATATTGAAACCAGGCAGATTCTGAACCCCTGCTCCTGATGCTGCCACAGTGCCCACACACTGGCCCTGCAGGCATGGCCTGCACTGAATGGCCAGTGCAGCAGGAGCCGTGGCTGCGGCAGCTGCCGGGATTGCTGCAGAGATGATCCAAGCAATCAGCCACCCACTGAGGATTTCTGCATTTCACAGTTTCCTTCATTCACTGTATCCTGCCTCATCCTCCCACCTTCTGCTTCCCTGAGATCCTCAGTTTAGCTCTTCTGCCCATTGGAATTATTAATGATCAATGGAGGGTAGATACGTTTTGATCTGTGATACAACTGAAATAACAAGGATTACTTACAGGGATGTTAAAGGTATTGTCGGTCACATGAATCACAATGTCAGGTGCAGCCAAGAAGGCATCTGAGTGACAGGGACACACCATGGCTGAGTCATTAAGCCAGTCAGTAAGAGTTAGTAGACCCAGTGAATTCCCCCTAGAACAGTGTCTTCCCGATGGGACATCCGGGCAGGGCTTGCTCTGCTCAGCATTCCCTGCCTCCTCCCGGGATTCTTGAGGGACAGCCTCTGGCAAGTCCTGGCCCAAGGAGACCTGCCACCGCCCCAAGTCCTGGCAAGGCTGCTGCCCGTCTCTTGCCCCAAAGAGCTGTGCCCCTGGGGGACTTCTCTGCCAGAGGGCAGCCAAAGCCAAGGGGCACTGAGGTCTGCCCTCTTGCAGGCGGCTGTTGTGAGCAGCAGCTGGAGCAATTGGTGGCAAGACTTGGCATCTGTCAGAAGGCAGAAGCTGTTGCTCCTTCCTGGCATGATTTTGGGGTGGAAGTGATTAGCAGCAGCACAAAGCCACCATCAGCTGCTGAGTTTCAGAGGACAAGTAGATTAGACAGAGAGACTCTCAAGCTTCCTTGTGTTCTTTTTGCTTGTTTTCTTGCCTTCTGGAAAAAAAATCAGCCCAGTCTCGCATGTTCAACACTCCAATGTCTGTGTGCTCAGCTGTGGCCAGCAGCTGATGTCCAGTCCATTGGGGAAGTGCAGGGGACAGGGAGAAGTCTGGGATGAGAAGCTGTTCTGTGTCTCCCATGAAGGTGCCACCCGCCTGAAGGAGCAGCCAAGAGAAGTGCTGGAAGCAGAGACATTCTGCCAGTTTCTGCTCTCAGGTGGACACAGGGCCCACTTGTTGCCAGGGGTCCTGGAGATTGGATCCAGGAACAAGGCAGGGCCATGCACTGGTAGGGAATGGGCTCCAGCAGGACCAAAGGAGGAACGTCCAGCAGCAAAGTGTGAGCTGGTGAACTGGGCCATCTCTTCAGCAGACACCACAGTGCTTACTTCCCTCCATCCCTGAAGCTCCACCACACGAGGCCCTGCTTTGCTTCAACTTCTACTGCTTCTTCCTTTGTTGCCCTCAAGTGCTGGACGTAGAGTTTAGAAGCCCATGCCCGTGTTTTGAAGGTGCCTGCGTGGAGGAGAGGTTGAGCAGCTGCAGCCCGAGGCTGGTGTCCCAGCAGAGTCTCTAAGGATGGCACCAGTGGCACTGGCTGGGGACACCTGAGTGTGGAAGGCGTGTCCAACCTCAAGCAGGGCCATTGAAGTCAGTCAGGATGTCAGGCTGCAGCTGGAGGTGCCAAGGGTTGCTGTGAGGCTGGGGAGTCACTGGAAAGCTGTGGTGGCCACTTGCCCTGAAGCCTTTTGCCAAAGCGGGTGCAACTGTGCCCACAGTCTGCCCATTTTTGGTGCCCTGGCGGGTGTGGGTGCCTGGGTGAGGAGGCCCAGGCGTTGTGGGTGCTGCTGCTCCTGGGCAGCCTCTGGTGCTGTTGTCTGTGGGGCGGAGCCGCTTGGGCAGCAGCGAGTGCACAGGCCTGCCCGAGGAGCCCAGCGCCCTGCCCGTGGTGGCAGCAGCTCTGTGGGCCCAGAGCTCTGGCTCAGGGGGGTGTTGGCCACAGCCCCTTGGCCTGGGCAGCCGCGGGGGCCCGGGCTGGCCACCAGCCCTGCCTGTGCCACTGCCCCTCGCTGGCATCACCCGGCAGACGTGCCCTGGCAGGGACCCCTTGCCCTCCTTGTCCCCAGCCAGGCCAGCCTGGCCCCCTTGGGGGTGTGCCCACCCTGCTGCTGAGGCCTGGCCTCCAGGGCTTCTGCCACAGGGCTGGGAATGCCTCGGGAAAGCACCAGAGCAGCCGGCTGGCAGGGAAGGAGGTGGCTGCCTGGGGGCTGCTTATGGCCTCTGCCCCCCAAGTCCTGGGGGCTTTTCCCTCCACCCTGCCCCTCGGGGCCTGCTCCCAGTATGTCCCATCACAGCCTTCTGCCACCCACCCCCTCACAGATTCCCCTCAAGGCTTCCTGCTCCCTTGTCCCATCAGGGCCTCCACAGCACCTCACCCCTTCCTGGCCTCCCAGCGCCCCCTCCCCTGCTGGTCTTTTGCTGGCACGCTGCACAGCGGGGCAAGTGTTGCTGAGCACGGGGAGCCCTTTTCCCCTCTTCCCCAAGGCCCTGTGCACACTGGGCACAGAAAAAAAGCTCCTGGGCCTCTGCGCGTGATAACATGTTGGTCATGTTCCCATGCTGGGCTCAAAGGAGGTGCTTGCAGGGAAGAGGCATCTTCCCCACAGGCTCAGGTGGCCCCAGGAGATGGAGCTTCCTGCATCAGTTCCCCACAGAGCTGCAGCAGCACAGGCAGACACTGCCCTGTGGAAAAGGCCAGGTCTTCCATGCCCTGCACAGCCAGTCTTGGAGCTGCTGGAATCTGCAGTAGGGAGCCATCTGTACTGCTCTTGGCATGTAGCAGTGTTGAATTGCCAGGCCTGCCATGGCGAGTCTGATGTCTTCTGTCATGTCTCTACAGGCTGGAAGAGGCAGCAACGGAGACTACCAGAATGGGAAGAATGAAGTTCTCCGTACAGCTCTGATGATGTGAAGCGTTTGAAGGGCCAGGTCTGAGACGGCAGGGCTGTCATCAGTGATGCCTTGAAGGGCTGAAAGAGAAAGGAAGAGAGCCAAGGTGAGAGGCCAGGGGTGTGGGGACGCGAGGAGCCCCTCCTGCCAGGGCCATCCCAGCCAGCTCTTGCCATGGCCAGGAGGGAGCAGGGCCCAAGGGGATCAGCTGGAAGGTGCCCTCGCTCACCCTGGCAGATGAGCTGCAGCTCTGGCTGCTCCTGCTTCATGGACCTGGCGGCGATCCCTGGGAACACAGAGCCTGTCAGGCCCCAGAGGCACAGGTCCCCCGCAGCGGCGCTGCCAGCCCGGCCACACGGCCTCCTGCCCTGGCAGGGCTGAGCCCGGGGCCTTCCCGCATGGGGACGCCCCAGGGCTGGGCTGGCACAGGGCGGCAGCAGGCACCAGGCCACTCGGGGCTCCACATGCCCTGGGCCGCATCCTGCTGCCGCTGCAGCAGCCGGGGCTGGGGCCGAGCTGCAGCGGGGCGGGGAGGGACCCCGGCCTTGTGGCTCACCCAGAAACTTGATGGCCAGCTTTCGCAGGGGCTCCTCTGGGCTCTCCAGGAACGGCAGGGCCTGGCGCACGTACTGGCCCACTCGGCTCCTGTCCTTTTCCAGCTGCAAAGAGCGCCAGGGCACGGAGGGAAGGCTCGGCTCAGGCTCTGCCCCTTGGCCGGGCGCTCCCTGCCCCCAGCACGGGGCTCCCCTGCCCGCAGAGCCCTGAGGCCTGGCCAGCAGCCGCTGGGGCCGGGTTTGGGGGGAGCAGAGGGCTGGGTGCTCCAGGGGAGCCAGGGGCTGGGGCTTTGGGGCCGTCCTTACCAGGCACTCAGGAAACCTCCATGGTTGCTCCATGGTCACCAACTGCTCAAGAGCCCTCCACTGCAGGAACTTGGCTGCACCAAACAGTGCTCTCCGAGAGGCCTGCACAGCAACAGAGAGCGGGCCATGGCACCGCAGCCCAGGGCACAGCACCTGCATCCCTGCCCCAAGGCCAGGAGGAGGCTACAGGCGACCATGGGACAGGGCAGGAGGCACAGCAGCCTCCTGCCATGGGGACACCAGAGCCCACGAGTTCTCACCTCTGCCACACGCTGGTTCTCATTGTGCCAGTTGAAGTAGAATGGCACCAGACTCAGGTACACGTGTGGCTTTAGGCTCTTGCTCCTCTCTGTCGCCTCCATCAGCTCCCGGAAGAGGAGCATGGAGAGCTGCTGCAGCTGGCTGTGCTCCTGGTGCAAAGGAAGAGGAAAAGACCTCAGCACTGGCTTCTCCAGGCCCACCGGGGCACAGGCCTGAAAAGACACTGGGCCCAAAGTTTCCTGGCAGTACTCAGTGCCCACGATGAGGGGCACAGAGCCTTACGTTGTCAAAGAGTGGCCGCAGCACCTCAAGCAACTTCAGGGCTATTGGGCTGGATATTTCGATGACTTTCAAGCCCAGCACATTGATGAACACAGAGAGAGTCATCTGAACTGTGTCTGTGTCTGCATCCTGCAGTAGCTCCAGGAGGCTTTCATTCAGGCTCCGGATGCTCTTAGCCTGTGTGGAACACAATGCTGTGGTGCAGCCCCACGCTGCTGCCGCGGGGCCCAGAGGCCAAAGGTGCGTCCCAAAGGAGTCGGGCAGCTGAACGGGGAGGAGGAGAGCTGGGAGCAGCTGCCACAGCTGCCAAAGGCCAGCCAAGGCCAAGCTACTGCCTTGCACAGCCGCACGCTGCCGGCCCGGCTTCAGCCCCTGCCCCCTGCTCACCATTGAGGGAGCCTTGCTGAGCACCAGCAGGCCTCGGAGCGCCAGGCGACGCCTCTCCGGGCACTGCCTGCGCAGGTGCCTGGAAATGATCTGCAGGACGCTGGGCCCACATTGTCTGGGGTTCAGGCAGTGCAGGACCTGAAAGGCAGGGAGCAGTGACGGGGTGCCCGGCCGGCAGGAGCCCAGACCCGCCCGGGGCTGGGCCCAGGCAGCAGCACAGGGTGCAGGCACCGTCCCGGGCGGCTGCGGCTGTGAGAGGGCAGAGAGGGGGAGGCAGCTGGGCCAGGCAGCGCTCGCCATCAGGCTCACCTCCACCAGGAACGCCAGGGCAGGCAGTTCCCACAGGGGCTCTCCCCTGCTGAGCCGCGGGAGCAGGCTGACGGCGATGCTGCGGCAGAAGGAGCGGGAGAAACGGCACAGCTCCCTGCAAGGGGGAATAAAGGTGCCAGAGACCCTGAGCCAGGTGGGCAAAGCTCTCCTGGGACTGACTCACACAGGCCTGGTCTTTGGCCACCAGCCCAGGAGAGGACGTGGGCACTTTGGGAGGTGGGTCCTCCTGTGCAGCCGCCCCTCTCCGCCTTTTCCACTCTGCTCAGCCATCCCTGGCTGCCAAGGCCCTCTGGCCCAGCACACGGGCACTGTGTGGGGGGGCCTGTGCACAGGGCAGAAATGACAGGGGCAGTGGGGAGAAAGGGCTCTCACCTGGCCAGCAGACCCACTGCATAGTGGTGGGTGTCAGCCTTGAGGAGCATGTCCCAGCCACACTTGCGACCGATCGCCATCAGCACGTCCTCATCCAGCAGCTGGCGCAGCAGGGCTTTAACGGTCTGCACTGCAAACCTGTGTGCAGAGCACAGCCCAGGTCAGGCACAGAGCCCTGGCCCCAGCCCCGAGGGCGTGGCAGGGAGAGGGGACTGGGATGGAGCACCTGTTGGGGTTGGGGGGAAGGCTGCGCTGCTCCCGGCATCGCCTCCAGAAGGTCTCGACCTCCTCTGACATCTCCTCTGTGCTGATGAAAACTTGGAAGAGCAGAGTCAGAAGGAGGCGGGGGGAATTGTTCTTCACTCCCCCTGGGCACCAGGAGTGGGACAGCTGGAGGATCTCCCAGAGTGCCACAGTTGCCTGCCAAAGACAAAGCACCCAGAGACAGCTCTCAGGGCCCAGATGTCCATGTGGCAGGGCCCAAGCGTGGCAGGGACAGGCCAGAGGAGACACAGGGGGATCCCCCGGCCTGCTGCCCCTGAACCTGCCCCTAAGCCAGGCTTGCAGCCCAGTGCCTGGGGCAGGGAGAAGCAGTGGTGAGGGAGGATGGAAAGGTATCCCAGAGGCAACCTGGGGGCGAGCAGAGGTCAGCTCAAGAAACTCACAGCCAGGGCAAAGACATCCCTCTCATCCCCATCAGAGGTGCGTCTCCTGTGCGCTGGCCAGTATTCCAGCACATGGAAGAGGATCTGCAGCACCGGCTCCTTAGTCCGTCTGGAGGAGATGAGCGTCTTCCACATGGTGCGAGCAGCTCTGTGGAGTCACAACTCTGGCTCAGGGGGGTCTGGGACACAGCGCTGTGGCCTGGGCAGCTGCGGGGCCCAGGTGACAAAGCCACGGTGCCTTGTGGGGCAGGGAGGCAGGCTGGCCTCAGGATTGGAGGCTGACATGCCAAAGCTGGCAAAGAGAGGAGCTGGAGTGTCCGGGAAGTCTCCATGTCTCTGGCACACCATTTGGGACAGGCTGTCCAGGGGGATGGGGTCTAAAGGCAGGTGAGCCCTCAAGGCAGGTGGGCCCCATACCTGTCACAGGCTGGGGCAGAGCGCAGCAGGGTCACTGCAACATCCGTGGGGTGTGCCTCGGTCAGCAGGACAAGAGTCTTGTCCAGCCTGTGCTCAGCAGACACATTGGACGTGAGCCACTGATGGATGCACCTGACTATGGCCGGCACCTGGAGGGGACACGGGGGACAGTTGGAGAGCTGCCAGAGCCAGCAACTTGCCCAGCTTCCCCCAAGAAGTGCTCCCCTTGCCACCACACTCTGCTGGTCTCAAAGGCTGAGGGGACCCAGAGCAGCTGATGTGAGGGGCCACAGCATCCCTGAGGGACTGGAGCCCTGGCCACAGGCTGCTTACTTGCTTCGCTTTGTAGACACCGTTCTCCACAAGCAAATCCAGCAGGGCAGCGCTGGTCTGGGCATTGAAGAGGTCTGAGTTTGCCGTGTCCCCAGTGGCCATGAAAGTGGCCTCTTCATGCCAAATGCCCCTGATGAATCTGCAAACCAGCTACAGGAGAAAGGCAAGGAAGAGAGAGGGATGTCCCCTGGAGGGCCGGGACAGCGGTGCTGGGCTGAGCAGTGAGAGCAGGCCCAGCCCAGGCGGGGATGGCTGCAGGTACCTGTGCTGCCCTGCGGAAGCGGCCACGGGCACGGAGCTGCTCTTCTGTCCGCTCCTGGCCTGCATCTGGCAAAGAGCGAGCGCGCTCAGAGCTGAGGGTGTGCGGGAGAGGCCGGAGAACACAGCCCAGGCCTGGGCTCCAGGAGCAGGCAGGGCCAGCCCCGGGATGCCCAGTGGATGGAGCACGGTTGCCAGGAGATCAGCCCCGGCCCCTCTGCCCCCCTCCCTTTCCCTGGGCATGTCCATATGGGATGGGACAGGATGAGGCCAAGGGAGCTGCAGCCACCAGCCCTGTGACCCAGCTCCAGCACTCACCCTCCTGCGGGGGCTGCACCTGCTGCACCTCTTCAGGCTGCTGTGTTGGAGCAGCCCCAGGGCTTTCCTCCTTCTCCTCCTCCTTCACCCAGGCCAGCTTGGGCACCGTGGGAGGTCTCTGCTGCATGTCTCCATCTGGTGTTATGGACACCTGCAGTAGAGATGCCATGGAAAAGCTTTGGCTCCTCAAGTCCTGCAGTCCTGCCTTCAAGGCAGCTGCAAGAGAGAAGCCTGGGAAATGCCTCGCCTCATCCAGTCCCACTGTCTGGCCTCGAGGGCAGCTGCCCCAGGGACTGGAGATGCCTTGGGCAGCCCCAGGTCCCCAGGTCCCACAGTCTGGCCTGGAGGATGCACAGGGGAGAGGTGGAGAGCTGCCAGTGTGAGCAACTTGCCCAGCTTCCCCCGAGAAATGCTTCCCTTCCCAGCACACTGTGCCAGCCTCAAAGGCTGAGGGGGCCCAGCGCACCCAGCTTGGGGGGCCACAGGCTGCTTACTTCAGCAGAGACAGCTCTCTCCTCAAGAAAGTCCAGGCTGGGGGTATCGGCCAGGCGCTGAACAGGCGCGGCCTCAGTGCTCGCCACGCCCTCCGTCGTTGTGGCGTCGGCCTCCTCCGTGAGACCAGGCAGCACAGAGTCACAGTGTGACACATCATCGGTGGACGTGGTGTCCCAGTGGGTTGTGTGATCACTGGTTGTGGTGTCACACTGTGCTGGGACAGCAGTCGACGCGGTGCTGACATCAGGCCTTGTCAGCTGGGTCGGGATGGTGTCAGGCTGGGCCTCGACATCAGCTGGTGTGACCCTGGACTTTCTACGCCGACTGCCCATGAATTTCATAAATGTCTGCAGGAGAAAGAAGGGCAGGGAAGAGAGGGATGTCCCCTGGAGGGCCGCGACAGCGGTGCTGGGCTGAGCAGTGAGAGCAGGCCCAGCCCAGGCGGGGATGGCTGCAGGTACCTGTGCTGCCCTGCGGAAGCGGCCACGGGCACGGAGCTGCTCTTCTGTCCGCTCCTGGCCTGCACCTGGCAAAGAGCGAGCGCGCTCAGAGTTGAGGGTGTGCGGGAGAGGCCGGAGAACACAGCCCAGGCCTGGGCTCCAGGAGCAGGCAGGGCCAGCCCCAGGGTGCCCAGTGGATGGAGCATGGCTGCCAGGAGATCAGCCCTGGCCCCTCTGCCCCCCTCCCTTTCCCTGGGCATGTCCAGACGGGATGGGACAGGATGAGGTCAAGGGGACTGCAGCCACCAGCCCTGTGGTCCAGCTCCAGCACTCACCCTCCTGCGGGGGCTGCACCTGCTGCACCTCTTCAGGCTGCTGTGCTGGAGCAGCTCCAGGGCTTTCCTCCTCCTTCTTCCTCCGGAACAGCCTGAGCAGGCTGAAGCGTCTCCCTGCCATGCCACAGTCTGGTGTCCAGGGCACCTGCAAGAGAGAAAGAGAACCTCGGAGAAACTCCGGGCCTAAGTTGCAGAATGGCCTTGAGGCCACCTGCCGCAGGGATTGGAGACACCTCGGAGAAGCTCCGGGTCTCCAAGTCCTGCAAAAGGGTCTCAAGGGCACCTGCCACAGGGATTAGAGACACCTCGGAGAAACTCCGGGTCTCCAAGTCCTGTGGAAATGCCTCGAGGTCACCTGAAAGCGAGAAAATCCTCCAAAATCTCCGGGTCAGCAAGGCACGAGTTGGCTGCGCGGGGGCTCCGCACAGCACCGCTCTGTCCCGTCCTGTCCCGTCGCCTGCTCCGAGGAGCACTGTTGACACTGTGGCCGTGTCACCAGCAGCACCTCTGTCACCACGGGTCATAAAGGGCCCTTGGACACCCTGCCCCCTTCCATCCCACTGGCCATGCCCAGCGTGTCACAAAGGGCCCTGGGACACAGTGCCACGTGGCCTGGAGCCTCCCCCAGCCCCGCCAACCTGCCCCACCTTGGAGGGAATCTTCTCTCTGAAGTATCTAATCTGGCTGGACCTGAACTGTAGGAACAGCTCAAGAAATGAGCAAACACTCCCCTCCTGTGCCTGCTCACGGCAGCACAAGGAGCCCCCTCGGCCGCCGACGCAGTCGCAGCAGGAAGGGCACGGGGCCTTCCACACAAGCTGGCACGGCCTCCTTGGGAGAAGTGCTGGCTGGTGGCCATCCTAAACAGGGGGGCTGACACCGAGAAGGAAGGTGTGGGCAAGGGCACCAATGCTGCTGGCAGCCCTTTGGCCAGGGCTGCACCCAAATCAGCAACTCTGGCAAGTCCTGGCCCAAGGAGACCTGCCACCGCCCCGAGTCCTGGCAAGGCTGCTGCTCGTCTCCTGCCCCAAAGAGCTGTGCCCCTGTGTATTAGTTCATTTGAATACATGCCCGGAATAAAGACAAGTACAACAGACATTCAAACAGTACAAAACATCTTTTATTGCAGTGAGAATAAAAAACTAGCAAAGAGAATCAAAAGCTAAAAAAGAATAGAAAAAGCTACTTTATCAATTGGCATTCATACAGTACTATGAACGGCTTTTATTACAGTATTAACTAGTAGAAAGGGAATTAAAGGAACATTTAAAGGATATTAAAACAATACTACGAGTGGCTTTTAATACAGTATTAACTAGTAAAAAGGGAACTACAAGGATATCAAAAAAGGATATAAAACAGTGGCTTTCTTAATTGCTTCCTCTCGAACTGTGCTTACCCACACAGACAGGCCAGGGCTGTCAGGATCTGCAGCAGCTGGTCGGTGCCCGTGGTTAGCGGGTGTCCCCATGGAACAACACAGTCTCCATGGCAGGATGAGGATCGCTCACCCCAGCAGTCCTGACACCCCATTTTATCAGCTCCACATTACACCATGTAGGGCCAGTATAAGGTGATGCCTGAGTGGCAGCCAAACCCCGCCTGTTCATCACCTGATAGCAACAGTCTGTGCATGCCCTGCTGTAGGGCAAGGGGCCAGCGACCCCTGCCCACAGAATCTTCTTCTCACCATCGTCTTTCTCACCCCTATGTATGACCTCTACCATTGTGTTTCAAGGATAGATGTATCTATCTTGCAATATGTAGCAAAACCAAGGAAGAACTCAGCTCTGATAATAGGGGATATCAGGCTGACTTGCTAAAAAGCACAATGGACCTTACAATTAGCTTGTGCCATGAAGTTACATTGTACCATACTCTGGCTGGTTTCACATCCTAATATGATTCCTTTCTCACGCCTCTATGCTCCATTGATCATCTAATTCAAAAGTACCCCCCTTACAGACATGAAACAGTTTAAAGTCCTGGAGATGTAGAGATGAAAAAGTCATATCTAAAATGTAGTGCTAGCTTGTTCCTAAGCATTTCCAAAACTCCTTCCCAGCAGGTGCCAGGATGGGTGGGCAGGAGGTGACTTTATTTATTCAGACCATTCTTGTACGTGTGACTGCTGCTCTTTCACCCCTCTCCCCCTATTTCTGGGTTGGTTTCTAGAGCTGTTTTTGAAAGAAACACTTTTTACACTCTCACATGTGAATATTTTTAAAGAAATACAAGACAGGAAAATCTAGTAAAACCAATATTTAACAAAATGGTGAAATCACACTCCTTTTTGTACTCTAAGCACTCTGCTACTGGCAGTTTGTGTAGTTCTCCACATAGTGGAAATGTAACAAAGGATCAAGCAATTTTCTCTGTATTCTTTATTTACTTTTAATTTTTTTTCTGTCATCAAATTGGCTGCAGGATTTGGTCCTGTCTTTGTGGAGGATGAATGCCACTGTCCTTTTATGTTTAATATTTTATTATTCAGGGGGACTGTCAGTGGGAGAAGTGGTGGGAAGGATCCTCCACTCAGGGGCTGGAGCTTCAACTTCTAAAGAAGGCTGTACTTAATCAAAGAGCTGCAACTCAGGATTTCTCCCTGTGTTCCAGAACTTTTCATTTAGCCAGCTGAGAGTGCCCAGGGCACAGCCAGGTTAATGTTTAACTCTTCCAACACTGGGTTCATCCCGAGGATATCCTGTCATCCTGAGAAGAAGGAAGGGAGATGCTGTGCCTATTCCCTAGGGCTGGGCAGGAAGCAAAATCTTCAAAGCCCTGGCCCTTCTGAAGGAATTGATCTTGTGTTATTCCTCAGTAGTCAGCACTGAAAATTCTGTATCTGAGATACAATGAAAAGGAGAGTTGCCAAGAGGCTTGTTTGGGGGAGAGTGTTTTTTTTGGTTGGTTTTTGTGGGGGTATTTTAGTGCCAAATGAAGGTTGGATCATGAAAATCAGTCTTGTTACTGACAAAAACAGTAAAGGTATTTAAATGCTTTCAGGCACTGTAACCATTTTCCTTTCTTTCACTTTCTCACCCTTTGCAAATCAGAGACAGTTCCTAGAGGACAGGAGAATAAAATAAACAAAAAAAGAAATTGTTTTTCTACTCTTGAGAAAAACCTGTGTCAGGTCTGTTTTGAATGCATTTGAACCCTACTGTTTCCAGGTTCTTTTTCAAGTAGCACCAGATAAATACCTATGAACTACTAAGATAAGAGTGATCATTCTTACTTCACAAAATGTTTCTCTTTTTTTTTCCTATCCTGTGTCCCTTTTGTGTTCTGTGCTATGGAGTGACTATATTTTTGTTCTAAGCTAATTCACTGCTGCTGTTTTGGGTACAACTAATGTCAAGCAGCAAACCTGTAACATGCCAGAAACAGGCTACAGTGTGTTGAAGACACAGCTTATGTTTGATTGTGTGTAAATACAGAGTTAGTTGGGTTTATCTGATAGCCTGGCAGAAGGAGAGAGGAGCAGGACAAACTGTTTTCAGTAACTGTGCTGTTCAGACACCTGATAAGATGGAGAGTGCTTTGGAACTACTGATATGCTTTGAATAAGAAAAGAACAATCAGGTCCATTGGCACTGGCTTATCAGGAAGGAAGTAAAATGCCAGCACTTTTACATGAGCAAAAGGAAATGTTTTAGACACTTTGGGCCATTTTTCCATTGACATTAAATAGCAGGGTGCTTTTGAGTGTGCTGTGATGAGTGGAAGGATTTATTACCTTGACAGAATTACAGGTGAAGGTGTTCAGAGAGGAGTCCTCAGCAACAAGAACAGCTCTTTGGGTAAGTGGCCACATGTATTCATGCTTTTGGTAGAGATTCAGGAATTCTCTCCTTTCTTTCTCCCTGAAGTGCAGTGGCTCACTTACAATGTGCAGTTTTTCAGAGTGTCACATCCTTGTGCATTTTGTAATATCCTGGCAGCATGTTTGATATTGGGTGTGTAACAGGCTGTTCATAAAATAATGCTGGATCATTGACTGGTGTGTCCTCTGCCTTCAGTCCCTGGGTATTTTCATGTTCCAAAAAGAATATATCTCAGCCTGTGCTGGGAAGGTGTGATTCACCATTAACTTACCCCAGCAGGCATGAAACATGCTCAGATGCACTATTATCTTCTCAAAGTTTACAGATTTTTATTTTTGTACCTTTTCAAAATTTATTTCTAGGTTCTTTCACATGCTTACAATTTATTTTGTGATATTCAAATTCGATGAGTGATAGTGCACATCATATTTGATTGATTTTGGATTCTAATTGATTCCTGTCAATGAGATCCCTGTGACACTCTGAAATCAATGATATGTGATTCACCCAAGGCACCACTGTTCTGTACATTAGGTAGCAGTCGGGAATTTAGGAACTAAATGGTCACAAGCTATAAATGGAGAAAATGTTTAGATTTCAATAGCCCTTTCTTTGGCATTTATTCACCCAAATATGTTTCTTGGGAAAGTTAGTTTTCCAAAGGGAAGGCTTTCAGTAAAAGAAAGGTCATTGATTTAAGGTTTAATAAATTTTAGCTAAAAACAACAGGCTCCATTTGGGTGTAAAATAATTTAAGTATTTCCTGCAGGCAACCTTCATGCTTTAGAGCTGTTGCTCAAAGCTTTCAATCTTCTATGAAGATGTCAACTGTAAATATAAAAATGCATCACTGAAAATGTAATGGTTCAAAGATTCTAACTGAAATAAAAATTCCTGCCTGGGGAAAGCACTATAATCAAAAGAAAGTGGTCTTAACTTTGTTTCCTGTGGAGGCCGCACTTGAAAAGAGTGCTTCAAGGCAGCAGGGTTGGTAGGGAATGCCAGTTTTTATTTATTTATTTATCTACTCTCCCCCACAGATGATGATAGTCTAGCTTTGGAATCAGCAATACACTTCAGCCACTAATACAAGGCAATATGTGAGCTGCCGCTTCCAAAATGCAGTATCCTGGCATTTCAGTCAACTTTATAATCTGGCAAAAACCCACATGACAATATTAAAATCTAGTTCTGAAGCACTTTTATTTCTCAAAGCATTTGATGTCTTTTTATATCTTTTTAGCATATATTTAATTTCTTGGGAGCAGTGGCCAGGATGTACACTTGATGGATGACTGGGGTGGAGAGTCTCCCCTCACCCCATACTTATTTTTTCCCTCCCCTTTAATTTTAAAAAGAGATGTGATAATTGTGCATTAGGCAATGCTGGAACATGAATCCTACAGATGCAGCTGTTTGACAACATTAATGTGGGGGGTTTGTACCATTGTTAGGTAAGTTAGCAGAGATTTTCCAAGCTAAGAAGGACAGCCTGCTGCCAAACTCTGGTATCTCTCTTAAGAAATCTTTTTCTTCAAGGATGCCCTGAGGAAAATGATGACTGGATACTTTTCTGAAGGCACAACTGGCCTGTTTTCTCTTCCATAGCATTCAGAATGGGACTCCTTGTTCCAGCCTGCCTGCTCAGTTTTTTGTGGTGCTGGGTTAGGGTTTTCATGTGTTTTTTCTCCTGGGATAAAGTTGTGTACAGTGA